ATAAAGTTCATTTATCTGATCCTGCATCTTCCAAAAATATATGATCACAGTCTTGCTGAAGTCCATGAAAGGTGGATTAGACTGATAACATGCCAGATGATATCTAATTGATGTGCAGATGCTTTAATTTGAAAAAGAAATAAATCTTAATAGTAATTACATCTGTTCCATGATTAATTACAGCAGCCCAATGAAATCTTTTTGAAATGAACCATTTGAGAGGGACATGCATTCCCATTAGAGCTGGGCTTTTTATAATGCACAAATGAGAGAGATGCATCTCAARAAGATCTGTAACTGAAAGCTTCAGTTACAGTGCTGTTATTCTACTGTATTAATAAAAAAATCAGACACAAGGTTTGTGTGCACAGCACAGCCCTGGAAATCAAGCAAGAAGCCCATCACAGACTCTCACGAGGCAGAAACAGCTCAAGTCGAACATCTGCTTTCCTTTGCAAATCACTCTARAGGCTCGTGCATTTGGAAACTTGAAATAAAACCAACCACACACACACACTGTGTACACATACACAGCCTGTGCATATATGTCTATTTTACATATATTAAAAATAATTCACATATATACACATAAATATGGATTTTATATGTGGATATATTTATATATAATCCACATATTTATACGTATAAAACAATCACCTATATGAACTAAATGTGCTCAATAGTTTTCCAGGCAACCCATGCCCAAGCTTCCTAWCTTTTATTTAAAGTAGCCAGCTGAGGTAATTTCATCTACTGTGACCAAGAGGCAAAGACCTGGACCAGTAGTAAGGAAATAGCAAGGAATTCTCCCTCAGTTTGCCCAGAAACCCCCCTACCTGACTCAGAAAAGAGACTTTTGTTCAATATAAAATGCAGTCCTGCAGAGCACACTAACTGGATATTATTAAAACAACAACAACAAAACTGTCTAGCAATTAGTTCTTCTCAATTCTTCAGGCTTGTATTTATAAAACAAATTAAACATAAATTTAAAAATGAATAATTCTGACATCAATATTTTAACTGCTTACAGAAGACACACAAGAAAAGCTATAAGCATTTTATCAAGAAACTATGCAGATGAGAATTAACCAAACACCGAGAACTAATAAAGTGACAGTAGCCCCAAACACTGGCAAGAGTGGGGAAGAATCCTGGGTGATCATCTACCCTTCTTCCAGGCCCAGGCAAGGTCATATACACAAAATCTTCTGGCACATCTGCCCAACCTATTCATAAATACCAGATTTAATGCGCCCTTAGCATTAAAAGGCATTTCCCATTTTAAACCTCATATTTGACTGAATTAATGGATTAATGAAGTGTTTCTTTTAGGCATCAGCTACCCCTTTTCAAGGGGCAGGTATTTCTGGAATAATTTTAGTTACTGTAGAAAGCTCTTGCTAACTGTAACTCATTTCTACCTTGGCCTTTCCCATTCATCTGTGCACACTCTGGCTTTCTTTTATATTTGTCCTAATCTAGTTTCAGCATCTTTCCTCTGAGTTCAGTGAGGAACTCTTAAYTGAGCTATGCTAATGCACTATTTCTATTCTGCATTAGGCTAATTCCTACTTAAGTGCTTGGTATCGTTTTTCTGAGGAACTAACAAGTCTTCATAACTCCTGATTTTTCTCAAGACTTGCTTCAGTGTGAAGTCAATCTTGAGCTTCACTGATGCTTGGATTAATCTTGACTAATTCTTGATTCCAAGGAGCTTTTAGATCAAAAGCATAGACATGAGAGAGGAGTCGATGTCCCCACCTGAATGTGTTACAAATATCACTATAATTCAAATCAGAATACTCAAACTATGAGTAGTAAGTAGAGGTTATTGAATACAGCATTTCTGAATTAATCATTACTTAATTCTACAAACAATATGAATTTCTGAATCATTTTTAAACAAATGGAATATATGCTGTAGGAATTCCAACCTTGAAGGGGCAAAGGATTGAAAAATGCATTTTCCTCTGACAAGGGTACTACAGACACTACACGACCTCCTTAAATACGGCTAGTTCCTTGACAATTACTGGAAAGCAAATTTTAGGGGTTTGTTTTTCCCACCAATAGGAAGGCTTCCCAAGCTACAGACTTTGATAGACCTCTAGGAGCCTGGGGATAAACCTCTGAACGGGCATTTCCTTTCATCTGACCACCTGTAAAACTAGGTCGTAAAACCAAAAGCACTTGAAATATCCCACCCTTCAGGAAGGCCAACACAAGATCTCTGCAGTTTCTTCCCAATTACCAGCATAGTTTCCTTCCACCCCCTAACTCATGCCRGTTTGGATAACAGTGAAGCAGCTGCTCGTCTCAAACTACAGACAGAACAGGTTTTAATTTGCCTCATTCAACACATGTGCTCATATGTGTCATTCACCTGTGATACAGCTACTCATTGAAAACAAAAACAAACCAACAAAAAGAACACACACACACACACAAACCAAGAAACAGTTAAAACACATTTAAAAATCCACTATTCCACTATTAAAAATACTTTTTGCCAATCTTAACATTGTGGGGAAGAAAGAGAAAAAAAAGACTATGCCTGAACAAACCCTCTATTCTGAACTTTCTCATAATGACCTTTCTATAAATTAACATTTGTCTTGGAACAGCTGAAGTGGTTGCCTTAATTATGAGACATAACCTCAATATACCACCAAAATTTATTATGCTCCACTGCCACATAAGTTTTAAGTGTGAATATTTCTAACCTTCCTCTGCAGGATCTGACAGCATAGGGACACTGAAAAATGAAAAAGCAATTAGGCAATGAACATGGTCAGCTTCTGACTAACGTGACTGGATAAACTAAATGAAATTAACTGAATATCCTTTTCATAAGACTCAAAAGACAGAATTTTTAATCAAGTTTTACACAGACTTACTATTTTCAGCATGAATTTTCATCTTGGTTTTATTCCAAAAAGGAAGTTAAATTCTCTACTACGTCATGGAAATACAGTGTAGTTTCCTATACTGTCAAATCTAAGTTTTCCTTAACCTGCTTTAACAGGCAGTGCCATAACATACCCAATACCTGCAGTTTAAGAACTTTTGCAGCAGCTTTTACAAGTCTCCCCTTACAGGGACGAAAAGAAAACTGAAACCACACATGCAGACACCTCACAAAGTCCCAGTACTTGCTCTTGCTACAGCAGCTCTCAGCAGGTGCACGCCAAGAATCTGCTGTTGTAGCTGCTGTTTGTATTTTAGAGATGCAACACACAGTGCAACCTCCCTTGCTGCATGTCTTTATCACCCCGTTTTACTTCTGATGAATGCTTGTTATTTTTAACTAGGAACAGTCAGTTCAGTGATTGAGTCATAAACTGTATTTAAGAACTAAATAAAGTGTTTGCACAAGTTTTATTCTCCAGTGAGCAGTCTCCTCTCAGTGCAGCAGACAGACTGCAGTACTGTCTTCTAGTACCCACTGACCTTCACTCAAAACTAACCAAAAAACAGGTGCTCTAGAGCACAGAATGAGACTGCTTCTGACTCCTATCTTCCTGGGGGGAAGATAAAAAGAACTACAGACCTGCGTGCACAATGTGGTCAACAGCACTGGCTTACAATGCAAATCATCCTCGGTGCGCTTTAAAAACTGCCCCACCACTCGTATTTTTATGGAGAGTCACTAAAAAGCGTGCCAAGGCTTTGAGCACCACGGTGCAGACTCTCACAACCAAGCGCTACAGTCTCTCGGTGAGAATAAGACATGTTATGCTGGACTTTTTCCAGCAGTCCAGAATGGACCAAGCTCTGTGACTCAYCTTTGAGTTGCACAGGGAATGCAGCAGAGTCACCCCTTTTCTTAGGTGTAGCAGCAGTTCACAGGACTAAGCACTTACCAATGACTAGCACTCGGAGCAGAAAATAGCAGAGAGCATGAACCCTACACTGGGACAACCTCTGCAATCCCCAGCACCAGCAAATCCACATCCAACTCGCTGAACCTCTATCCTCAARGCAGCTACTGCCAGTCAATCCTCCACATGCTTCAAACTTTTATGCTGAATAAAATCAAATGGAAACAGAAGACATCACCTTTTAAGATACTGAAGGTGATACCATCTCTTCATTTAATTCACGTAAGTTAACATACACAAGAAGCAAGCTGAGACATATTGAGGGGTGCAGGTAAAGCTGACAGTAACAATTCAACAAAGATTTCATGCATTTCCCTCCAAACTAGGTTTCCTGTAAGGACATGACTTTAAAGAGAAGTCATATGCTGGAGAGGATTAAAAAAATAAAACAAAGAAAAGAAAGGCTTACAATGGGAATGCGTACCAAGATGGATTACAAACTGGGGCAGACTAACAGAGCTGAACATGTACAATATGGCTTTGTCAGAGGATTGCTTGTGAAAAACAGGCAATAAAATAGGTAACTTATTACCATGATAGCTTAAAAATCAAACACATTGAGCCGACTGTCATAAACCAGAGGTACGATTTACGAGGAATGAAAAATTTTCTGATTCCTAACTGATAGTGAGCTGTTCTCCAAAATGTTTTGACCAGAATACAATATAAAGCTTATCAGGTTGACAAGAAGCTGACGGCATGGCAGGAAAAGCAAATGAAGCGAAGTGTAAATATCCGGGAAAGGAACAAGCCCTGGCATCTTCGACACTGCTGGTGCTCATGGTTCTGAAGCAGGGCTTTACCACAGATYTGCCCTGCCTTTTAGCTCTGTAGATGCATGCTTAGATCTGTAAAGATATTTGCCCTCCAAACATTTTAAAACTCGGAGATGAAGTGTTATGTGAAATGTGGGTGCTGTTATTTTACAGCTTGCAGTCTACTAATGACCTTTGGTATTTGCATTCCACATCTATTACCCCATAGAATCAGCTCAAGAGCAGCCTTCACACATGCTTCAACAGCACGTAACTGCTGTTCAGCATACCTCTTCACGTTACTTGACTACAGACTGTGATAGAAAAAAGAATTAATAAAAAATACAGTCCCCAAACTTACTTGCAGGAGTGTCCCATGAACAGCATTCTGGCGTACGCGAGGGCTGGTGCAGTCTGGAAGTGCCCCCAGCAGCGACAGGGCCGTCTGTGGCACCTCGTTTACGGTGACGAACGGCACCAGGGCCCGGCCCGACATCTCACGCGACCGGTACATGGGAGAGCGGCCACATCTGCAGGAAAGAGAAATACACCCCTCGGTAATCCAGATCCAGGCCCCTGCTGTGCCTGTAAATCTAAATATTTGAATTAGAAATGATAAATATATATGTGTGTGTGTGTGTGCGTGTGTGTGTGCGCGCAACAAACTGAAACACATTTCTCCTAAAAGAAATCTACAGTATTTCTTCTCAATACTGAAAGAATATTTGTGCAGAAAAATAAAACTGACTAGAGCCACATTGGACGCTTCAGTCCTTCAGAAGTTTCTCTGTTTATACAAAGTGGAAGAAAAGGGAGGGGAAAAAGTCATGAAAGCGGTAAGTATATGATTCTATTCTGTTTCCTGGTGTTTATGTTATGTTACTTAACAAATCAGCAATCAAGTTCAAACACATTATGAGTTTGATTTAAATCAAGAGCACTCAATACTCTTAATCCTCTGATCTTAGGGGGAAAAAAAAATCAGAAAAACAAACAAACGTTTCCTACATTGCAGACACACTGAAAAATATCTGAATAAGTATATTTTACTTATTAAAATGAACTAAAACTCAAAACCATATACAATGTACAGAACAAAAGAATGCTTTTAAGTCTTTTAATGTTATTAACACTTTCACTAGCTGTATAGTTAAGAACACATAAAGCAGTATACTTTATATACATTTAACATTTTAACTATCTATATACTATTTCAGTCCCAGGTGTACTGAGTTAAAGTAAATAAAAGCCTCTAATCAAGCAGGCTTGGCCCAGCCTTTCAAAGCCAGGGGTGTTTGCATGTGCTGACTTTTGTAACGCAGGTACCAGAAACAGAAACATGCAGCTGGGCAGGTGCCACTCAGTCACAGGCTGTCTTGGGCAGCAGAGGAGGAGGTTACCACTGAGTCTAGAAACGGATGTACAAACGACTTAGATGGTATAGAATGGACTACAGAAGAACTTGG